AGAGAGAGAGAGAATCCAAAACAGACTCCAGGCTCTGTGCTGTCAGCACAGACCTTCACGCAGGGCCCAAACCCACGAACTGCTCGAGATCATGACCTGAGCTGAAGTTGGACCCTTAACCTACTGAGCCACACACACACCCTAAGTTGAGTGTGATCTTCACTGTGTCCCCAGCTCCCAGAGCAGTGCCTGACATAAAGGAGGCTGTTGATAAATATTTGTTCAGTGAATGAATGGTTAGATCAATGAATTCATTTAACTTACATCTAATGACTAAAGGGTGGTTAACTGTTAACAGAGGAACAAGATAGTGTAAAAGGGCAGAAGACATGGGAAGGCTTGTGTGCTTACTGAAAACCTGTTGGAATCAAGAAATGAGCTTTCACATCCATCCCTTTCTATAAGAGCTTGACTCTGTGGAGACTTCTGTATGCAGTGTGGAGTACAAGAAAGAGTGTGGGCTTTGATATCAGACAGATGTGCTTTTAAATCCTGGCTCTTCCAGATCTGGGAAAATCTCAGGCTCATTCCTAAATCTCTCTAAGTCAGTTTTCTCATAATGAAATGGGATTTGTACCTTCAGTGTGGCTGTGAAGGATTAACAAGAAAAAACATGAAATGCTCTGAACCCAGCTCCCTTTGCCCTCACCCATACTTCCAGCCCCAGAGCTGGGGTTCTGCTGAGCTCTGGTAGAGCTTTGGGCCCCCAAATCCCTAGGTGTCCAACCTGGGCCCCCTTTTCTATTTCTCTTCCTCCCTTCTCTCTCTCCAACAAGTTTTCTCCAAAAAGCCTTCCTTCCCCTCTCAAAAGTGCACAGTAATCTCTGCCTCCTCCTCACAATTTTACTTTCAATTCCATTGGTTTGTGGTTCAAATAGCAGATGTCCTCAAACTGTTGGCTGAGGTATTGCCTTTTCCTCCTCACTCAGTGTCCTAGGATCCAACACAGTGCCTTGATTCTGGCAGGTGTCTCATAAATGCTACTCACGGTAACCCTCACTTTCTGTACTTACCACACCTCAGGTCATCAAAGTTGTTTTACACAGGCTAACGTACCATCCCATGAAACTACACTATCAGAGTCGCGGATCATTATAACAATTCTCAAGAAGTCAATACAATTGATTATGCCAGGAATCCTATGCCTGTTTTCAAAAACAATACAGCATTTTCTCTGTGCTTTGGGGCATTATAAAATGGGACAAAACCCTAACAAGTGAATAGGGTTCTCCTTCCTGGAGAATTGCCCATGGTGCATTATAAGGAAGATAAGTAAAAGTCTTTACTAATTCATGTTTGCTGATCAGAGAGAACACCTGGAGGCTCATTCTTGGTTTCTTCATGTACCCCGGTCCCCACATCATGAAGCCATGGAGATACCCTCTTAGTGCCCACAGCAGGATGCAAAATTTAATTCCTATCCACGAACATTTATTAACAGACCTACAGAAGGCAAATCAAGGAAGACTAGATCACTCAACAAAAAGAGTCTAATAATTTCCAGCCACAGGGCCATCTGGTTGCCATTTCATTAATCAGGTTATTGCCAGCTAACTAGACTTGCTCCTTAGGATGTCAAAAGAAGTCATACCCCAGCAAGATGACCTAGTGAAAACATATTATTGATTAAAAAATTTCTAGAGCTCCTACTCCAGTTAACCAAAATCCTAATAGAGTAAATATAAAAACATTTTTTAAAATGATTATTCTCTCAAAAAACATATACCTAGAGGGAAAGGTGGAATCTACTGGTCTATACGAATTTGAGAACACTTGAAGGCAGTGGTTCTCAAAGAGTGGTCCTCACAGCAGCAGCATGAGCATACCCGGGAACAAGTTAGGAAGCTAAATTCCTAACTCCAGAATGACTGCATGAGAAACCGGGTAGGATCCGGCAATCTGTGTTTTTGACAAGGTTCCACATCATTTTGACACCCATTAAAGTTTGACAAACACTGCTGTAAGTCAAATAAGTGAGTTCAAATCAACATAATTCCAACAGACTCCATATGTACTGAGTAATGGAGGCGGAGAGGGGGAGGGGCTTGGGGTTAATCAGAGCTTCCTTTATGACCTCTCACTGAAGGTACTGGGAGGTCTAGATTCAAAATGAAAAACGGTGAAACATAAAGTCAATTCTTGATGGTCTTGATTACCAATTTTGAATTATCAGTGATAGCTTCACGCAGTCCCAGGCCAACTTCCCCAGTTGGGCCAAAATACTTTCAGACTACATTGCTAAGATAAGCTAAAGCAGCCTCCTAATGGTTTACAATATATAAAACCAAATATCAAAGGCTTTTACTACTTCCTTCCTTTTCTTTTTTTTTGTGTTTTTTTTTTTAAGTTTATTTTTGAGAGAGAGAGAGAGAGACAGAACATGAGTGGGGGAGGAGCAGAGAGAGAGGGAGACACAGAATCTGAAGTAGGCTCCAGGCTCCGAGCTATCAGCCCAGAGCCCATGTGGGCTTGGACTCATGAGCAGTAAGATCATGACCTGAGCCGAGGTTGGATGCTTAACCAACTGAGCCACCCAGGCGCCCACTTCCTTTCATTAACATGTATAATCAAGAGTTTCCAAATTAGGACAGGTCACAAGAATTAAAATCATACAAAGTCTAGTGCAACCTTTTTCCCTTTGCTAGTTTTGGCACATGGGTAATTTGAGCATTGTGAACACATGCGAAGGACAGATGGGTAAGATGACAAGGGCCCCTGAGGGCCAGCCGGACCATGACCTCTCCCAGCTGCCTAGCTGGGCCTTTATGTGGTCTGTCCATCAGCCTAAGGCTTATTGTGTTTTGAACCTCACCATGACACCCTTTTTCCAGAACTGTAGCTTCATGTTCCTAACCTTGGTCTGTTAACCTGACCCTGATTCCTGATAACTTCCTTCTTTTTTTTTTAAATTTTGAGAGAGAGAGCATGAGCAGGGGAGAGATAGAGGACAAGGGAGAGAGGAAGAACCCTAAGCAGGCCCCACACAGTGTGGAGCCTGACACGGGGCTTGATCCCATGAACTGTGAGATCATGACTTGAGCCAAAATCAAGAGTCAGACACTTAAATGACTGAGCCACCCAGGCACCCCCCCACCTTTTTTCCTCTTTAAAGATGACTTCCTTCTTTAATCATTTGTCCTTAAATCTAGACTCCAGTCTGACTGTAATTAACCCAATCATACTCATTTTTAAAACTGCAGGAGCCTATTCCTTTGATGCACAGAAGGCTAGAGGTCTAGCTTTTTATCATACATTCTCTAGACAGGGAAATTCCATTAATCCTGTGGAAATGGTTTTCTTAGAGTATTTCTACCCATCATCAGAAAGACAGTCCTAATCCCCACTTTACTCAGCTTTGTTTACTATAGCTGAACATTTTGTTATGTAGGCTCTTAGAATTTAATTCAACTTAACTTGTAAGGAAACAACAGCTCTGTTTAAGATAACATGCTAAGCCTTGCAGAGATGGCCCCTGCATACTCAGGGAATGCGACAGAGTAATGCCCCCCACTCCCCCAAAGATATCCATGTCATGATCCCAGAAGCCTGTGAATTACTTCTGGGAATGAGTAATGGGCCTTGCGATGCACAGATTTCCTTGGATTAGCTGAGTGGGCCCAATGCAATAACAAGGATCCTTATGAGAGGCAGGAGGACAAAGGAAGAAAAAGAGGTGATGAAGAAAAGGCCAAAGAAAGAAAGAGAAATGTAGATTCAAAAATGCTACATTGCTGGCTTTGAGGATGGAGGGGAAGAGGCCAGGAGTTAAAGAATGCAAGCAGTCTCTAGAAGCTAGAAAATGCAAGGGAACATATTCTCCCCTCGGGCCTCCAGAAAGAATGCCAAGGACTTCTGACCTCTAGAATTGTAAAATAATTAATTTATATTGTTTTTTTTTTTTTCTTTAAGCAATCTCTACACCGACATGGGGCTTGAACTCACAACTCCAAGATCAGGAGTTGGATACTCTACTGACTGAGCCAGCCAGGCACCCCAGCTTATATTGTTTTAACCCACTAAGTGTGTCATGATTTGTTCTAGCAACAATAGGAAATTAATACAGTAGTTTACAATCTAGTAAGAGAGAGAAGATGGCACAGGCAACTTTGGTACAGTTGAGAAAGTAACAAGTGTGAAATAGAAATACAAAACCAATGCTATGGAAATGCCGAGGTAGTGAGTACTTCTGTCTGCACAGATTAGGAAAGCCTCCTAAAAAAGGTGATTCTGCTGGGCCTTCAAGGCCTGGGTATGATTTCAATGGGGAGACCCAGTAAACAGCAGGAGTAAAGGCATAGAGTTGGAAGGTACAGGATCAAACAAAAAGCTAACATAGGCCCTTGTGACCTGCCATTTTCTCAAAAACAAAAACTACTTGATTAAAATTTCATACATTCTACTCAGGATATAATAGGCCTCTAGGTTTATAAAAAAAATTGTAATAATACCCAAAAATTATATGATATGTGATAAACTATCCTAAGAATGTAAATTACAAAAATACAGATCTTGGGCAAAATCTCCTCTCTACACAGAACATGTCATAGTCAAGGGCGAATCTAGCTCATTTTCAGACAGGCTTGACAGGAAGGAAGGGTTAATTAAGATAAACACAAAGGTAATTCTTTAAAAAGGCATCTGTTAACATTTACAAATTAGCCACTTCCTATGACCTTTGCAAGCAAGCCAAACTGAACAATGGCATTTAACTGAACTGAACGTACTTAGCAGACTGGAGGCACTTGGGCTCATGTTGATGGCGATGGAGAAGACAGTAGAATCTAGTCCCTTATTGGTAGGTGTTGTTTGTCTAAACTCACAGCTCATAATCTTAAGTAATTTCAAATGGCTCTCATATGGCCTAGGTTTGAGCCACTCTGTTTTGGGACTTGGGAAGGAAGGAATAGAATCGTCCAGATTGTAGAGCTGCAGCACCCAAACTCACCATCCATAGCCCTTTTAGCATTGCTTATGGTAACAATGTTTTCCCAAGATGATACCTGTACTCAGTGCCTTAGCAATGCTTGCTTTCTTCTTTATCTTCTGGTGAAATCGATTCCTTTTGGTACTGTTCATATTCATTCCAGGAAGATTCAGAGGAACAGCTGGTCTCCACGGGCCTGCTCCTGTAAGAATGGCCTGGAGCTTCCGCAGAAGGGTCCAGATCTGTACCAGAAGCCCTTGGGTCCTGAGAGAGAGCTGCATGCTTTGCAGACCAACTTTCTTTACAAGAAGAACTGGGCATGTTGCAGGCATCCTTATTTCTCTCACCCGCTGTCTTTCTGTCAAAGCCCAGAAATGTAACCTCAGACTGGCTGCATTCAAATGGAACTTGCGGAGTCATTCCATCTTTTCTCAAACCTTTATCATGAGGGTGTGAATCATTATTCTGGCTTTCATCATCTTCCACTGGAATACTTGGTACGTTATCCAAGAATAGAGGGGAAGGACACCTGAACGACTTTAGTGAGGTGGGAGGATCCTCAGCAAAATACAAGCAGGCTTGAGTACTTTCAAGAGTAGTTCGGACCTAGTTAACCAAGAAGCAAACAAACATTGCGTTAAGCTTGAATAACCTCTCCTTTCACCTTTTTTCTATCTACCTATTAAGGAATAGCCTCTTGTTTTCATGAAATAAGTTCAACAATAGAGTTTTGAATGAGAAGGTATTAAAGATTAGCTAGACCCTTTCGTTTTAATGAGTAAATTCAGAGACTTGAAGCAAAGTATAAAAGAAACTGCACTGAAATAAATACCAAGAGGCCTGACTTTCGGCCTAGATTTGCCATCAACTACTCTCTGATCTTAGATAAGTCTCTGTACATTTTTTACTTTGACCTTAACATGTGGAGTCCTGGAAAGGGTCAGGGTATGGGGAGACCCAATCTGTAATTCTCAAATACCAGAATTACCTATAGAAGCTTTCCTAAAATACAGATCCCTAGGCCCCAATCTAAAGATTGACACTCAAAAAAATATGGAGATAGGGGCCCAGGAATCTGTATTTTAAAAAAAATTTAATGTTTTATTTATTTATGAGAGAGAGAGAGAGAGAGAGAGACAGCATGAACAGGGGAAGGTCAGAGACAGAGGGAGACAGAATCTGAAACAGGCTCCAGGCTCTGAGCTGTCAGCACAGAGCCCGACGTAGGGCTCGAACCCATGAACTGTGAGATCATGACCTGAGCCAAAGTCAGACGCTTAACCGACTGAGCCACCCAGGTGCCCCTGGAATCTGTATTTTAAAAGCTTCCCAGTTGATCTGGATATGCAGCCCAAATTGAGAGCTGTTGACCTGATTTAAAAGAGCAAGTAACACACCCTTACATACACACACGTACTTGTTAAAAATACATTTAAGGAGCTTTACTATTTACAAAGTGCTTTCACACCCTCTTTTAATCTGTACAAACAACATGATTCTTCTCATTTTACAGATAATAAAGCTGAGGCTCAGAAAAGGGAAGAAATATCACTAGCCAGTAAGGAGCAGATCTGTTGCTTGACCTAAGATCTGGCTCCCAATCCCATTTGTCTTCCACTATACATCTCGTAACTCCTTTTGGGCCCCAGATTTCGGCCATAGTTCATATAGTTCTTACTGGTGGTGTCAGGCCTCGAACACAGTTCTCCTGATTCCCAGGCCAGTGTTGTTTATGTTCTGATTATGTTGACGTCTTGTTTAAAATTCCTCCATGGTTCTACAATAGACTCAGGATTAAACCCACACTACCAGAATGGAATTCATGCCCCCCCATCCTCTGGAACTTCCTATTATTTTAAGCACTTCAGCTTTTCCCTCATGACACTTCCATGGAGCACTTGCAGGACTACTGCCATAGAACCCATCCCCTCTGAGCTTTGCAGGGACAGATGCTCTCTGACTAAAGTGCCCTTATATTCTTACTGCTGCCTAAATTCACCCTGTTCTTCAGACTATAGCACAGACGTCACCTCCACCAAGAAGCTTCCTTGACTTCCATAGGCTGGTATGCATTCTGAGTCTACGCTCCCATATTGAACTGGGCTTCCACCCACCCTGATGCCATGTTTACTGATCTGACTCTCACTCTGGACTGTGAGCCTGAGGGCAGCAACTGTATCTTGATTAACTGTTGTCCCCTCAGTCCCCAGTACAAAGTCTGGCACATGCAAAGTAGGCACTACCTAAATATTTGTTGAACAAATAAACAAATAAATGAATGGATGATAAAACTGATGGGTACATTAAAAAAATCAATAAGGGAAATAAGTGCTACATTTTTAATGGACCAGATCTCTTAATGAAGGCTGAATACAATTCTCTCCAAACTACCCACTGTCTTTTCATTAAATTTTTTTTGTGGTGCCCTGATCCCACCAATAATGACCTCTACCAGAGTACCAAAGAGTGTGACTTAGTGACTTGGAAAAACAATCTAGTAGGTTAGAATTCTGTGTTAGGGGTTGGATTTGCCTCATTGATAAAGAATTTACTTAGACATAATGTATCCAATTTAGGTTTTCCATGGTTCTGTGGGCTTGGTTCTGAATAAAACCATGTGTACATACTTCATCCATTGCTGGTCTTAACTTTGCCCGCGTGGTAGCACACTGGCCCGCCAAAGAGAATAGCTTGGCAGAAAAATTCCGAGGACAGGGATGCACTTTCTTATCTAGAAATGAAAGACATGAATCGAGTCCTCTCTTCTCCATCAATTCCATAAGGAGATCCCTCTAGAAAGAGAAGAAGATAATTTTATCTTTTAGAACTCTATCCAAAAAAATAACCAGGAAATGGGTGCAGAGATAAAGACGATTCTTACCAGCTGGATATGCTTTGGATCATCTAACACCACTTTACAACCTGTCAGAACTTCCATTATTACCTATAGGGAATATATAAAGTCAGCTACATATGTTAAATATATAGACTTGACAACTGATATAGTGCATTCTAATCAATGACTTTATATTTTATTATTTGGCCGATTACATGAGATTAGTGTGTAAGACACTGAGTAACAGGAAATCAATAGGTCTAAACGTTAAAGCCCTTATAAAAATTCTTAGAATTTAGAGCCTTCCTGGTGATAAACTTTCCTCCTTTGTTGACTGGTACTTGGCACTTACAATTCCAAAGCTATAGACATCCGTTTTTATGGAAAGCTTGCCCTGTCTGATATACTCTTCAGGCATATACCACCGATGTTTAGTGCTGCTGCTGGTCATGCTTATGGTAGAGCTCTGATGTTCCAGGTGGGGTCGGAAGTGTGCCATGCCAAAATCAGTCAGTTTGGCTTCAAACTGATCATCCAAAAGTATGTTTGCACTGAAATTGTAATCAAGGACAAACAAGACAAAACACATCATAAAGGCATGCCGGTGAAACACAAAATGGCAAGTGTACCCTCATATCTGGTTAATTCCAAACACTGACAACACAAAGCAGTACATAATTTTCCATGAGGGGATTTTCCCATACTTCTTAAAGTATAAATGTGAATATTATATAAAACTCAAAGATGAAAACCTGACTGAGGAACAGTGGACTTTTTAAATTTATAGATACTTGAGGGAGTTGGTGGATAAAGCTAATGCTTTGTCAATAGGAGAAACTAAAATGAACCAAAGCAGCTTTCCTCATGCCCTTCCGATACGCAATGAGAAGGCTAACTGGGGTTTAGTCAGCTAGCAGTCAAGTACCTGGTATGTGCACAGAGCTGTGCTGTGGAATGCCCAGCTCATCAGCAGAGAGCCACTAACCTGCAGCGACCTGAAGGATGTTTGGTAGCCCCTGCCTTAAGGATGGCCCTTCTCTACTGTCCCATCTCTATGACTTCCTATGGACTAAGCACAAAAATGTCTTTGAGCCTTACTTAAAATATAAATATCTGCCAAGGTAAAGACAAAGTGCTTCAAGTCAGTTTTAGCTGCTTGTCCGATAAATCCTAAATAATCAGTTAACATCCTGGCTGACAGTAAGCCTCAGCTTACATTTACCGTCAAAGGGCCGTCACAGCAGAGACAGAAAAGGATAAGACCAAGCATTTCACATGGCCCACACCTGGAGTGAGTCCCAGCTCTGCCTTCCCCTGGTTCTGTGACGGCTGGTGGGTTACTTCACCCCATAAGCCCCAATGTCGTTTTCCTCATATGTGAAATGAGGCAAACAACAGAACTCATAGAATTGATAAGAGGAATATAAATAGCCTACTGTCTGGAATACAGTAATGGTCAATAAATAGTAGGTAAGATGAAAATTAGTAATTAATCATGAGAGAGCAGAAAGATATTGATAAAAGAGGTGAGTGGGCCAAGAGAAAGGAATCTATTTCTCAGTTTGGCTTAGGGCTATTCAGAGCCTGATCTTTGTCCCCTGAAACCAAAGTGTCCAAAATGCCAAGTGTATGTATATTTGAAGTGCTACACATTGTTATTAAAAGTGGTAATTTCAGTCAGCTGAGTCTCCAACTTCGGCTCAGGTCATGTCTCATGGTTCACGAATTCAAGTCCTGCATCGGGCTCTGTGCTGACAGCTCAGAGCCTAGAACTTGCTTTAGATTCTTTGTCTCCCTTTCTCTGCCCCTCTCCCACTTGTGTGTTCTCTCTGTGTGTTCTCTCTCTCTCGCCTCTCTCTCTCTCTCAAAAATAAAAAAAGTGGTAATAGCCAGAGGAGAAAAAATAAGAAATTCTTAATCCTGAACAAATAGCAAATCTTACAAAAGTCCCAGAAGTCCTTGCTGTCCCTGTACAAGTGGGCTGACAGGCAGACCCTAGTTTCATGGGTCTGAATTGCAGGTGTTCTAATAATTCAGAGTATTCAGACTCCTCACTCTGTTTCAAAGATTCTAAACTAAGACCTTTAAGAATTCTAATCCAGACTTTGTCTAGAACTAAGCTGACAACAGACAGAATGAAGAGATTCCCCAAGGCCCTTTAATAAAGGATAGAGAAGAACATGTTCTGTATTTTATGTCACTCTCTGTCCTTTAAGGGTGGCAGGAGACTTGCAAAACCCAAAGAGCCTGACTCATGTATCGGTCCTAGGGCCATCACCTGTGGTGTGGTCCTTGCACTTATGAGGAGACACTAGAGAAGGCCTAGGCCTCCACACTTGAATCCATAATCATGGTCCTCATTTTTCTCTTTGCCTTGTCTTTTCTATTTCTTTTAAACCTGACAACTTCTGGGGCCAGCCCAGGTCCCACACATCTCTGTCACTCATCTTCCATCTCATTTGGAAAACTGTGTTGACCACCCTGACAAACCTCCGAAGATGCAGAGTCCCCTAGAGCTAGATCCTACCTTCTCTCCAGCCCTAGGTGAGAACAGACACTTGGATCATAATTACTGCTTCCACAGGTATGTGTACACTCGGGTTCTGATCAAGGCAGGAGCTTCTGGAGATCCCCTGATCACCTCGGAGTGCTGGGTATCTAGTGCCAGGAGGTGAGATGGGCACAGAGGTTCATTAGGCCCCATTACCAGGACCCAAACCTCTGCCCCTCCAGCTCCTGCTGCACTACAGCCTAGCTCTCTTCCCACACCTCCCCCCCCCGCCCCCCGCCCCATGCACACACTTTATTTCAGCACAGGGGGACACAAAAGCTCTGAATGCCAGTTTCAGTGTCACACATCAAACTCTCTCCTTCCTCAACACCAGCTCTCAAGACGGTATAAAATCATAACTTAAAATGTTAGACCTCGGGCACCTGGGTGGCTCAGTGGGTTGAGCGGTTGAGCATCCGACTTCCAGTTGGGCTCAGGTCACGACCTAGCAGTTTGTGAGTTCGAGCCCCGCATTGAGCTTGCTGCCGTCAGCGTGGCACAGAGCCTGCTTCAGATCCTCTGCCCCACTGTCTCTCCGAGCCTCCCCTGCTCATGCTTGCTCTCTCCCCCTCTCTCTCTAAAATAAATAAACATTTTTAAAAATGTTAAATGCTACACCCATGAGGATGCAAAAAGCTGAATTTGCCAAACACTTAGATTTCCTGAAGAATGGGTCTTTCCTAAGCCCAAAGGAAGAAAAAAATAACAAGCAACAAAAACAAAAATATCCTCTACACCCTTTAATTGATCCTCAGCAAAACTAGTGGGAAGCTCTCAGCAACTGGTGACTCATGCTGTTGAAAGGCTCAGGGAGAGCGGGTAACCACAATGTGTGACACAATAAATCCCACAGAGGACTTTGGGTCCTCAAGAGGCCATCAGTAAGAAAGTGAAATTGCTCCAGGGCACCTCACTGACACTTTTCATGATATCTGCTGAAGAGACAAGTGGTTTACCAGCAGACTTCAGCGTATAACATGAATTTCGAGTCCAGTGATTTACTTACTCTGTTCTAAATAAGTTAATAATATCTGAGGAAGGAGACTGGTTCTATTTTAAGAAAGTAGGAATTGCAAAAGCCCCTTGAACAATGAATTCTACCCTAGTTCTTTCCCCTGCTACAGCCTTCAGTAGAACATTCATACCCTGCCTTCAACTATCATGCAGGTTAAGGGAGTATGTTTATCTTAGGGAGGTAAAAATAGACTAATAAAATAAAGAGAACATAAAAGAACTACAATCAGATAACAATATATGAAACAAAAGCGCAGCTTGCTAGCTAGAGTGCTTACTAAAGAGACAGACGAGAAACAGGTCACGGCCCACACCTTCAATTTCATGTTCCTACAAGCTATTTCTTCTGTTCGTTCCCAGAAAGCTACTTACTGTAGCACACACCATCACCTCTCTCGATAATTCCTGTAAGTAGAAGGACCAGTAACGGTACACTGAGGAGATGGGGAAAATCCTACTGCATGAGGCGGTCAATTTGTATTCTGACTCTGGGGACGAAGATGCTTCGTCTCTCTTTTGCCAGGGTCTCCGGCACAATTCTTTTCGGGGCCTGAGCCTCCCCAAAGGCTACAAGAATTGCTTTCTCTGCCTACCAGTTTTTTTCCTGATCCAGTCAAAGCCCTTGAGCCTAAAATATAAAGAGCATGATGATACACCTAGGCTATAATGCAGAATTTTAATTTAATTGAAAATAAACATGTGACATGTAAGCATACGGTTGGCTTTTCAAAATACATATTTTTAGGGGCGCCTGGGTGGCTTAGTCGGTTAAGCATCTGACTTTCGCTTAGGTCACGATCTCACGGTTCGTGGGTTCGAGCCCCATATCGGGCTCTGTGCTCTCAGCTAGCTCAGAGCCTGGAGCCTGTTTCAGATTCTGTGTCTCCCTCTCTCTCTGACCCTCCCCTGCTCATGCTGTCTCTCTCTCCTAGAAATAAATAAAAACACTGAAAAAAAAGGAAAAAAATTCAAAATACATATTTTTAAAGGATTTTAAGGGGAGTTTTTGGTGTCTAGTAACCCAGTCCAGAGTAGCCAGCATTCTCTGAAAATATCCAGACTCCAACCAATTGGCCCCAGAGATAAAGATAACCTGCTGGCCTCTTCCTGACAGCCTGAGGCAACAGGACATCTTGCTGTCTGTGTCACAGCTGTTGTGTCACCGAGACACCCCTCACCGGATAAGGCAAGACCCAGCTACTCAGGGAACCTACAGGTTACCGGACAAAGGAACACAAGCCCCTCCCCGCACTTCAGCAAGAGGTGCACGTGACGAAGCTGAGGCCCTTTATTCACCCTCAGATGGTACAGCCTTCTCTTTCTTTTCCATTGAACCCAGGCAGGACTCAGAGACAGTACTAAAGCTTGTTATTGCTTTATGGATGACTTATGAGTCCTAGGCTCCCTGTGTCAAAGGCCCAGCCAATAAGGGGTATTCCTGCTTTAAATCTGAAATTTCATCTCTAACCAAACTAGCACAACTTCCCTACGGCTCAGTTTCCTTGTGGGTAAAAAGATCTGAGAATGCTTGCCTCTTAGGGTCGTTACAAAGATTAAATGAGAGAATGTAATCAGAGTGCCCGATACACAGGGAGGGCCTCGAAATACACTCTGAAGGATGTCGGCTGGCCTTTGTCTATCCTATATCCACCTTAAAATCCCAAGAAACTTGGTTGGGTATCTCTAGAAGTTCAAGGCACCAATCTGAAGTGACAAAGGTACAGGATGGTTGCAGGAGGACTCTGGAGGTCTGAGGGTCATGGGGTTAATCAGTTTCAGGGCATCCGTTGCATTTCAAAATAGTTCCAGAGAAGTTCTGGAAAAACCTGCATAAAGTAACATTTCCAGGTACTCTAAGATCACAGAGAGAGAAAAAGAATTCTTTGTTGTATATATATGTGCATGCATGTATGTACCCATCTGTATAAATAAATAAATGTTGGGGTTTAGTGACTGTGATGGTAAACAAAATTCATAGGAGAAATT